AAAATGTGAAGAAGCCACGACAGCAGTTGTATGTGGCACTTACTTTGGTTCGCTTATTGGGGGTGGGCGAAGAAGGTAAAGGGGTTGAGAAGTACAAATTGGTTGTTACAGAACAGTCATGGGGGTGTGAAGTACAGCACAGGGAACATAGTCAATTATGTCCTAGTAACTAGGCCTGGTGCTGGACGGGTGCGGGATTCATTGGGATGATCACGTATTAAGTTATGTAATGTCGGGTCACTGGGCTGTACAAAACAAAATTAAAAAATAAATAAATAAGGTTCCTTCATGTATTTTTTAAAAAGGGGGATTCAGGGCCAAGGTTAAGCTCACGGGGAGCTAGCTTTTAGCACAGAATCAAACAAGGTGCCCGGGGAAGGAAGGTTTCAAGGCTGCGCCACCTAACGTTGGCATTAGCTGAGGAGCTGTGGTCAGTAGAAGCTCGATTTAAATTAGTCGGGCACCTTCGAGAAGAATCCAAACATTAGAGGTGTGATGAGCCCCAAGGCAACCACACATCCCCCAGAGGAAGCACCAGCTTCCAGAGGACCACCCCGCAAGGTTACTTTTGATAACCACCCACCACCATGCAGCATCTTCCCTGAAGCCTAAAATAAGCTCACCATCGAAGAGACAGACACACGAGCGCAGTGAGGTCTCGTAATGGACAAGGTATTTTTTTAAATAGACTTTTATTTCTCAAACTCAAAGCTCTATTTCATCAAGTTCTAACACATTTTGCATTGACAAGTGATTTTTACCTGCTTCGCGTAAGGTCAGTGACCATTACACCAGAGAGGAAACCTCGCACATCCGGGCACCATTAGAAAATTAATATTTCATAGGCTATGCAAATCTAGAGCAACAAAAGCTTCCAACTTGGTCTAATGAGTATCTTGCTTTTTACCTATATTAATTTGGAAGTTAATGGATAAAAACCCTTAATTTTCCTAAAGCAGCTATTTTTTTAAATCCATAAAAAAAAAAAACACACCCGGATGGCTTGAGTTTTAAAACACCCACGGATCCATATTATTTAACGACTTCCTCTTTAGTGGATGGTCTTCTCACCTCCTATGCAAACACATGACAATTTGCACCAACTCACCAGCCCAAGCCCAGGCAAAACTCCAAGCGTTTTCTTTGGCTGACACTTAAC